AAGAAAAAGAAAATAGTTTTAAAGACAAGCTAAAATGCAATTTTTTTAACTACAAGATTTCCCAATAATTTATTACAGATTATTTATAAAATTCAAAACTACAAATTGATGAAGTTCATAATTTTGAAATATACAATCAATATACTACAATGGTTATAGTTTATCTGTGTTATCATGAGTTCTACATATTTATAAACTAATATAATAATATTCAAAATGACTGTTGCATGATGGGATTGGATGTGCAGCATCATATTATCTTTATAAGATTGGTTGTTAATGTTGGGTCTATCACAGATAGACGGGAACCAATGTAAGTAAGGCTTGGTTTTGAAGCTAATAATTACACAACACTAACACACAGAAATCCAATGTAGATATAGAATCTGGTCACTTTTAATCTGGATTGCCAGAAAAGTCATGGTCAGATCTTGCCCACTCTCTGTGGTACATTCTAATTTGTTGCCGAACAACTTAAATTTTGATTTTTATAAAAAAATTAGTCAGATGTATTCAAAGTATACCAGTGACCAGTCTCTTCCTACAATAGATGTGTAAACAAGTTAAAACATTATTGTGTGATTTGGTAAAAAAAAAATGCCAAGTAAAATATGAGCCACTGCACTGTACATCTATGAACAGAGCACACGTTTTACTCACTGAATAAGGATTATTTACAAAGCAATTTAGCCCTCAGTTTGTCAGCATGCATGAACATGATTATGGGAAAAAAAATAGTACCGGAATTTAATGCAATAACACTGTTGATGAAAACGTATTACAAAACTTACATCATTTTAGAGATTTTTAATGACATTATGGTCAATGCACAATGCTGATTGATATTGTCATTTTATTATCAATACTCGACAGTTAAAAAAAAACAAAAAAAAAAACAGATTTATCATTAACCAAATAGATGTCTACTTACTGATATGATGAAATAATTATAACTATAGAACTTAAGTATAGTCACTGTTATGTCCACTCAAATATGCACTCTTATTAGAAACACACAAATACAATGTATTAACTATGACTACCGATACATTAATTGGTTAAACTAAAAGAAAATGAGATGATCTTCTAATAAAAAAAAAAGTGGGAACCAATTATTAATGTGTTTTATTCTTTTTTTTTTCAAAACTATAATTAAAGAAATCAAGAAATTGTTCGATTTTTCTTACACTTTGTTTTTAGTCCTGCCTGAATTTCAGAATTAGGCACAAATCACAGGAGTCGTATTCATTGTCTGACACTTTCGTCCAGAACAAAAATACAATGTATTGAAATAACAGTCCCTCTATACAGTTTTTGTGTTTAAATGAAAAAAATATAGACTCCTAACAAAAACAATACACATCACATTTTTGGACTAATTTAATAACATGGTTTCATCTGAATATAACACTGAATATAATTTTTTTTTTTTTTTTTTACTTTTGTGAAATGAATATTTTACACCTTTTTTATACAGTGTATGTTACATGGAGTTCACGGTGAAGACAATGTGGTAATATTTGGATCACAGAAACAGAAAGTGGCGAATGCAGAAGAAAACAAAGATGTGTTACCAAATTGATTCTGAGGTTATTGAAAAAACAGACACTGTTTTTGCTAACAATTGTGACTAATTTTCGCTGCTAGGAATTTACACAATTTAGGGGTTGAACAGAATTTGTTACGATGAAATAGAAGTTAGTCTGACTATAAGTTTTTAGGGGAATTTTCACTTCTATAAAATTGTGCATTTTTCATCAACTCGAAAATTTATTATAACGGTAATGTGATCAATTTCCTAAAAAAAAAACATGTAGTATCAGCCATCATGACTAAAATTAATTTATCTTTAGCATAGGTCCCGATATTGAATATGACAGGTAATCTGAGCCTACACAAGAGAAATCTGCAAGACACTCAGCAACTGCCAAATGGCCATAAAATGAGGCCACTGGAAAGGAATGATTTGAGAAATGTAAACCTATTTCTTGAAGTGAAGGAAATTTTTAATGCTCTTAAAATTTTTCTAATAGAAAACAATTAAGTAATTATGCATGGTTTCCACAAAAATTCATATATTTGTTGACACTGGTTACATCGGTGTGTCAATGTAAAAACTGAATATTCCTTCTTACACAAAAAAACAAACAAAAAACATTCAGCATGTACCATAAACGCAAACAGATTAATTTCTTTGTTGTCAAATCAAATTTGGCCATTTACCATAATAATTACAGACAACAACAAAAGTTAATGAGTAAAAATTAAAAAATTAAAGTATCCTTCTCACTGCAACTTTCAAATTTGCTAGGTTAGGGCAAGAAAAACAAATTGTGTGGTTCAGATAACCCAACCTACCCTTATTGTTTACTGGCCAACCATAGACTTTTTGGGGGGATATTTGAGAAAATGTTACAAAACAGTGGCAGGTTTTGAATGTAATTTTATAGAAATTAAAAACTTGGCAAAACTGGGTAATTAAAGCAACTTTAAACATTATTTATGCACCTGTATCTACAAAAACTGTTCTTATATTATAAGAAGAAGAAAAAACACAGTTGCAACAAAGAAAAATTATATAAAAAAATAAAAATCAATATCTACCTACTTCTTGAAAATCAAGTTATAGTAACCACTAAATTTTTTTTGGCCTGATACAACAGTGGACAGAATAGCGTGTCTGTTTTATTCTCTGTGCACATCTCATACAATTTGTATGTTGTGTTATTTATCTTTATGGCATTACTTTTTTTGATAAGAATTAATGAGCAAGGTGTCAACAATTATTGATGCAAACACGACAAGAATGCAGTACTAGTAACACATGCACATACCTATCATCAATACATACAAGAAACAGTTACGCTATTTTGTCGGCGATTGTAACATATGATATAAGGTAAAACCGCAGTGCATAGTAAAATGATTGTACATGAACTGTTTAATAACCACATTTTTCCAATAAATCTAATACATCCATTCTTTGAATATGTTTCAAATCTTTTTTGAATTCTGCTACTGTATAGCCAGAATCTGTGGCACCAACATAATCTAAAAATGCTAGAGTACCACTTCTTTGGGTTTCCCAATACTTAATTTTATTGTTGGGAACATTTTTGAGACTTGCCAAATGTCTCCAGTCTTTAACACAAGCTAAAGGTGGATCTAATATATACATTAGTTCATCTCTAACCTCTACTTTAAAATCTTTCACTGAAAGTTCTCGACTTATAGGTGTTATACGTGTGGAGTCATAAAAATTCTCTGCCGGGTATATTTCTTCTTTTGAGTGACAATCATGTTGATTACAAGGGTGTTTCTTCACTTCTCCTAAACTTGCTTCTTCAACAGGTGTTTTGATATCCTCATCTTTCACAACTGGCACAGTTCCTATGGACTGACTTGCTGCATCATCTTCAGTTGTTGTATTATTACTCTCCTCTGTGTCTGCAGTTGCTGCTTCAGGAGTGACACTAACAAGCTCTTGAGCAGTTTGTACATGTTGACAGCCATCGCTTTGAGTAGACAAACTAGAGAGATCCCTAGATACCTGATCAACACTGGAATCATCATTGCTCTCTCCTGACACAACTTCAGTATCCAATATCAAAGTTTCATCATTTTCCACTGGGTCTTTTTGTACGGTCATTGAGGCCTCATTGCTTGTAGCACAGATGTTAGCACGATCAATGAACACATTGCAACCAAACCACGTTTTGTAAACAGCTTCAGCAAGAGCCCGAATTTCAGTCTGATAAGACCTGTAATTGACAGCGTGTATTCCACGAATGGTTAGCGATGGAAAAGTCTCGTGAAGTAGTTTTGTATCGACGTCCGTCATCAATACTAAAGCGTACTTCGTCTCCAGCTTGATGTCTTGACGGAGCTGCTCCTCAATGGATTTCTTCACGTTGTTATTTTCACTGATGTTGGTAATAAATTTCTTGCTTACTAAAATCACTCCATACATCCCGTTTGATTCTTTAACTTCTTCCATCTTGTTTTTGAATAGATCTTCCAATATCAGTTACATCATCCGTATGACCTGGCGTAGTCAGCCTGTCCCGGCAGCTTGCAGTAAGACTCAATTTCTTTGGCAAGTGGAATAACAACACCGTCAAAATCTTCACCGGCGTGGATCAAACAAACGTTTTGTACACGCTCTCCTGGTCGGTGGGCTTCGGAAGACATTCTGCTATCGTGAAATACGACGACTGTTGTGGAACAATTTCGTTATATTGGATTAAAAGTCCGGATTTGTAAGAACATGTCACGAAAAACCTGAATTTTTGTTCTATTTCAGGCAATGACATCACTCACCAAAGGGGATTCCCACCAGCTGCTGACCCTGGGCACCCCCAGATTTGACGAATCTTCCGAGTGGTCGAAGGCACGTTGTCCGAAACTTGTTAAAAACGATCGGATGGACTTAAATCCAGGATTGTCAACGATATTTAGTACACGATCGAATCCAAGATCTTACGCTCGGTCGGCCACAAAGAGAAACGTTCCCGTTCGGTTGCGGTGCCGTGTGACTGATAGCATACCGTTTTACGGCAATAAATGTACTGGAGGATGTCGAAGTTGGTGTACTGAGTAATGAAATAAAATTATTTACTCCTTGATGTTGTTTTGAATATTGTTTTAGGTTTAAAAATTAATATCTTTGTCATTAACTGTTATGCTTTTAAACATGGAAATACTAAACAATATTTTTTTGTATATAAAACAGGCAAAGACACACCCCCAGAACTCAAGCGCCCCCACACAACAGTAGGTCACTGAACACATAACAAAAATTCTATCTATCTATCTATCATATATTGAAAATACAAGCGTCGCATATGGAAAATACAAGTTCATGAACACAAAACAACTACATGCACAACTAAAATTGAATTCTCAGACAATACATTGCAAAGCATGGTTAATAATTCAGTGGAAGAACAACCAAAAAATCACATAATTGAAATTAAGGGTTACTTGGGAGGACTGCAAAGAATTAATTGTTCTCTAAATATTGTAGTCACATCTACATGATAACAAATATTTCTTAAAAAATTCCACTTTCTTTCATGACATTTTCCCCCTTAAAATGCTCATCCAGCTCACCGCCCACCCCAAAACCTATGTTTAGTCACAGTCTTTGTAGGGACTGTGGTCTAGTAAACAATCAAAGCGCCCGGAGCAACATACACGTACATAGAGCTAATATACATTCTATATCTCCGAATTTTCTAATTATTCTGAGTTTGGCGTAATTAAAAGAAAATTCCTGAGAAAATACAAAAACAGTATCTATCAATCAATCCAGATTTGAGTGCCCTTTGACCTTCACCCTTACGTGGCGCGTGCAGGTCAACTTGAAAGCGAGGCTACAATCGTTGTTTATAAATGGCCGCCGCAGTTGTCTGTGGATTTTAAAATTCGTTATTTAATATTTTGTTTACAGCCATGAAAAAGTTCTTACGCACCAGCCTTCGGAGGAAGACTCCTTCCCCCGACCGCAAATCGAATCAACACGAGGGGCCCACGTTAACTTATGATATCAAGGAAAAGGAGTTACCGAAACTTCATAAAGCGGCCTGGAATGGTGACCTGAGCAAAATAAAGCAAATCGCTAAAAAGGGAGATTTAAATCAACTGGACAAGGAGAACAGGTACGTGTGTGGGGAGTTTGTGAATATGATCGATGAGAAATCGGCATGTTATATTGGTAATTTGAAACCACAAAGTAATTATGCATGCTGTCAGTGCTACCTTATTTACTTCGCGTACCTTGCGTTGATTTCAAGCGAACCGTACATCGCTGTTGCTGTGGAACCCTACGTAGGTGTGGTGCTATCACACCGTTATCTCCAACTTTACGACTCGGATCAAATGATCAGTTATAGACAGTTCAGTTAAGTACATGTCTCAGACTCGTATATATTATATTAGTATGTATATGTGTGCAATGTCTATATTGAAAGTAATCTGTCATCTGCAATATGCCAGAACTGAGGACAAATAACACCTGTTATGGATTAAAATTTAATATAATGTCATTTTAGCATGCGTCAGATAGATTCAAAAAAGAGCAAAGGCTTAAAACTATATTCGTATGCTCACTAAATAGGCACCAGCTGTGATTTTGACATTGCTCAAATTTTTCATAGATTTGATCAGAATTTCCAATCAAACTATTATAATATTATTTGATTAATAATAATTTTTATATTGCAATTTTTGTACAAAATCTGATTTATATCGAAACAACTGATTCTCATAATACACAGGAGCAGCCTGCATGACTTTTGCCCTCACAGTGGTTTTTAAACTTTTTGTCTGCTTTGTATGTAGAAAATGTATTGTGTTTTCAGTTGATGAAACATGTCTAAACTTGAATTAAGGATTGGTATGTTTGCAATTTTAACAAGGCTCTTATTTACAACTTGTCCATTATGTGACGATATAGTAGTAGTGTCCTAGATCTAAAGTGTGTCATAGCAAAAAATGTGTTAATAGTGTTATGAACAATAATTTTCCTCCTTAAGAAATTATACTTAATCTGTCAACAGTAATATACAAGTACCTAACATTGCTGGAATGGTTGGGTTGGGTTCAAGAGGAGTGTTATAAGATATAATCACAGACACAAAAATACACTTCAGTGCCTGGAATCTGTTTTCTCTTTGAAAAGTTAGAATATTAAAGAAGAAGTTATCAATCCTTGAGTTTTTTTAGATTTTCAGTAGTTTGTTTATGTCCCATAGTTACTGTATCTAATTTGTCCTTAACAAGGTATAAAGTGCACATCTATATAAATTATGCGTGAGCAAACATCATTAAAAAAAATTGCAATTCTTGTGAAATCCTGATAATACTGTATTTGGTTTGTTAGTAGAGTGTAGATGACATGTGTGTCTGTGCACTTTTTAGCCACTTTTTGATTAAAACTTGATTTGCTTGAAGTTTTTGAAGTCAAGAGTAACACTAGTACATCAATGATATTAATTATTGAAGTAAAAAATTTGAACTCTCTTTTTCAGTGGAACACACTCAAAAACACATTGGGATTAATACTTTTATTGAAAAATGTTAATTTTTAGGACTTTATGTATATAGCTGCATGTAATTTACACATAGTTAATAATGGCTGCATTGAAGTATTTATTTATATTGAGCAATATCTTTGCACAGTTTACTATACATAACTTTCAAAAACATTACCATAATTCAGACCATTATATGAAAGTGCGATTTATGCAAAATAGTCAATATAAATGACATCAGTTTGGACAGAATTGGTTAAAAAGCATTGAGGCTATTTTTTTTCTGTTTTTTTTTTAGTCAAAAATCAGAACCATTTTATGAATCATCCAAATGAACCTAAATTTAGGTTAAGCTAAGATATTCAGCATCTTACCCCGGTATCCTTAATTAATGAGGCTGTATGACATACTCAAAGCCTCGACTGATTACTGCCACAGACAACAACAGTTTTACACTTCAATTTGAGGGATTACATGTATTTTTTCAAAGATGCTGTAAAGAAGTAGTATATCGTTTGTATTTATTATTTGTTTTTTTAGGTCAGCACTTCACCTGGCTTGTGCTCAAGGACACACTGATGTGGTTCAGTATTTGACGTCCAATAAAGCCAAACTGAATGTCTGCGACAATGGTCAGCAATCGCCTCTTATGAAAGTAAGTTGTTCCATGGACATTTTCAGCCACTGAATTCAAATGTGCCTAAATAATTTAACCTCAGTATAATTTTCACTGTCTTAGAAACACAGTTTATCAAATGAGAGTGTTTGTCAATGGGTTTATGAGTTTTTGTGGATGATGCTTTCTTACCCACTCAACAGTGTCTTCAAAGTTTATACAGTATTAATTTTCATGCTACACAATGTACAAACTAAGATTTAGGCTAATCTCATATTGCATATCGGACAGGAGGAAACCGTGGTTACCACAGGCTAAGGAAAGCTCAAACTTGTTAAAAATATACAAAAATCTTCAGCTATTTTAACTATGATTACTCAGTTCAGTAACTAGGAAGGTATACATGTCAGTTTTACAGTTATAAAACATTTGCAAATTCAGAGAGTGCAGATTGCAGAATAACTGGATCAATCCGGTACATGTATGTCAGTTTTTCCACTGGTTAAGGTAGAGATGCAGTTTACCTGACAGGTATTTTAATTAGTTAATTAGGAAACCAAGATGACCTCCCTTGTCCACAAAACTATATATTTTTGGAAAGCTTATTGTATGAATTTTAAAACTTTGTTAGTATTTTTTTGTTATGGACACTAGTTTGAAATATGCACAAAAATGTACTTTTTTGGTCAAAAGTGATTTAAAAAAAATTAGCTTCTAAACCATGCTTCCGTTTGCTGTCAAAATTGGTTTATGGGTACATCTGTTTACTATGAAAAAAGTGCCTGTCTTGAAAACTGTCTACCAGTTGTCAATTTGGCAGGGCAGCAGCCCAAATTTCACTACTTCAAGTTTATGCATAAATTAACACCCAGGCTAGTTGTCTGTACGATTGTTGTAACACTGTTCAACCAAAAACAATGCCCCAACGGCGTTTTGAAGATAAACACATTGTCAATCATTTGTGAAAATTTAAAAACAAAGGGTCAATGCGTCTAGGAGCTATTTTTTTTTAAAGTTCTGGGATGTACACTAAAAAGAAGCTGAGATAATTGCTAATTTGCATAACAAAATTCACTCAGTAAGAAGTTTGCTAATGCTCATAATGAAAATGGCTGTAATAGTTCCAATTTAAATGTATTATCGTTTTGTTAAAAGTTAAATATAGTGCATATTATGGAGATCCCGTCATTTCTTTTTTTCACCATGTTTCTTTTTTTATTATTTATGTACAGCCTTGCTAAATCTTGCTAAGCATTCAAAAAAGAGAATGTTTGCACCCGTTATCTATATTTTAAAATCGTTTTTTGAGTATGTTCCACTATTCACAATTCTACAAAATTTTAACAGATAATAAAAAGCAAAGAAAAAAATTTCACTCCCAAGTGCCCACGAACCTGCATCTCTACCTTAAGATGAATTCCAAATCATGAATTGTCATCAAAAAAAATATTCATAGAAAAATAGACAGGAAAACAAAAAAATGTTGTTTTAACTATATGAACCTGAAAAGTATTTAATTTTCTCTCTGTTTGCCGTATGGCTAAGCAAATGCTCACAACCTGTAATATTTTCATTTTGTTTTGCTTCTCCGTGGAAAAGATCATAGTATTGAAATAAATACTTCCAAATAATAATTTTTCTTTTTTCATCAGGCAGTACAAAGTGACAGTGTGCAATGTGTGAGGGTTTTACTAGAGCACAATGCTGATCCTAATCTGATTGATAAAGATGGCATGACTGCTCTACATTTAGCTGCACAGTCCAGCTCAGCTGATTCCGTCTCATTGTTATTAGACAGTGGTGCTATGGTCAATGCAACCGATAAGGTAAGCAATATTTGGTTATTTCCAATACACATGTACTATACAAGAAAATACTTATAATCCATATATTTAGTGTTGAACAAATTTTTGATTGCTCAGTTTTGGTCTGGGGAACACAGCTAGTGTATATTGTATGGTATTTTATTTTATTCAAATCACCTACAATATTTATTGAATAATTCTTGCAGCATTGTCTTGGATGGGTTACATACTAGCACAAAAACTGAGGTTGGGAAGATTTCAGGTTTTACATCGACTGACAATCAGCTGTTATGTTACTGATTGTGTATATATGATGAATATGTTTTGTTTTGCTTTCAAGAATGCTTGTACTCCTTTACATCTTGCCACATCAGCTGATAGTGATGATGTTGTAGAGTTGTTATTACACAAAGATGCTGACGTAAATGCGACTGATCAAAACCAAAGGTTGGTACTTTTAATGCTTGGGACCATAGTAAACTTATGTCACCTTTATCAAAGTAGAATACCTGTAGTCAATAGAAAATTATGTTAATTTTGTCCAAATTAAATGAATAAAATAGACAAAATATTGACATTGATTTTAGCTGAAAAATGATGGTGGTCAAGGATGAAACTGTAATAAAAATGTGAAATTAACTCGGCAGTTACCTTTGTTTGATCTGACCTATGCAACAATAGGCTCAACCTTACCGTCTCAAGATGGTTTAAGCTCAACACATGTTCTTGGGTAAACAATCCCTCTCTTGGTGAATTTTATGACATCATGACTGACGTATACCTGTGAAACCATACTTGAATATGAATGTACACACATATACATTATAGGAGTATGTACCTGCTTACCATAATATTTTAATTTGCCTACTGGGAAATTTGGATTTGGCCAATGTTGAATTTAATATCAAAATTCACCTTGTTATTGATTTCAGGACGCCATTGATGCTTGCCTGCCAAGCTGATCAGATCGGTATTGTTAAATTATTACTGGAGAGTAAAGCCGATACTGAAATCAAAGACAGTAAAGGTTGGTCAGCAGCTGATCATGCTGTGATGAAGGCCCACCATGGGTAAGTAGAAAGACAATTCTATTCGTGATACACATGTGCATTCAAACCTGCTCCCGACGTTCTGATGAGCTATCAAATATTTATGAAGCAAAATCAACCCCGACCCAACAAACGTTGGAACGTTTTTACACCAGAGTGCACAAGTTTCTAAGGTAGCAGCAGGACTATTTCAGCAATTTTAAATTTCCATGAAAAATTAATTTAACCTCCATAATAAAACCATTTTCATGAAGTCCCTTGAAATTATGTTTGATACATGTATCAGTATGACACTTGCCATCTCCACATAAATACATTTGTTGAGTTTATTTCACAAAAAGTGTAGTAAAGACAATCATGGTCTTCACATGGTAGGAATTCAACCCAGACAAATATTTCTATTTTGGCTAGGTATTTTTTCCAGCAGTTAGTAATTGCTTCACTAATTCGTGTCCCGCACAACTGTATAATGAAGCTCCCTAAGCTGTTGAATGTAGAACCATAAACAAATGTCCGGATACGGTCTGGAATTTTCTTAAGAAGGCGCGAGAATTATAGCCAAATTTTCACGCTTTCAACTTAGGTGGGAAGATTTTAACATAGGTCATTGAAATAAGCAAATCAATACATTTCTATAATATTTTGGAGACAATAGAACTTTAATCTGACATTTCCTTTTCTTTCCAGATGTTCTCACTTGATCAATGAGCACAGTGCAGCCCATCGTGCAAAACCTGTTAGTAGACAAGGTGGTATGTTCCGGTCACCTGGCGCACCAATTGTTGGAGCACCAGAAAATGGTCACATCGGAGGATACGGTCTTGGTGGCCCTGCTGCTGATGCTGGAGGTATGTGTGCATCAGATTATGTAATGTAATGCCATTTTAAAAAATGTAAATTTTTTCTCACTACCAACCCTGTCATTATTATAAAAATGTTTTTATTTTGAAGAGTAATTAATGTTTTGCTTTTCCCCAACAAACTGAATAAACTGTGTAGCCATTTTATAAAAACCAAGGACAAAGTCTGAAATCATGGACTATTAATTTGGGTTCTGTTTTTTGGAAATGTTTTGGATCAAGTATATGTATGGACATTCCTTCTCATTGCAATTTTATTCAAAGTTTGTGTTATAATCATGCATATTACAGGTGCACGTCATATTTTTTTTTTAGATTCAAACAAAAACGACTGACTGGTGTCCATTTTGTTTTTATTCATGTCCATGCTGATTCCTCACTAATTTATTGCCTGATTTATTTGAAAGTTTGCACACAAGTACTATACTCATGTAATATAATAGTTTTTTTTGTGAGTATCAAATTTGTCCATTAAACTGATGGCCATTTTGTCTTAAATCTTAGAATCACAGCCTGTAAACATGCCTAGAACCGTTTCTCGTCAATTTTGTGATTAAATATATTTTTGTATTTTAGAGGATGTACTGTCACAAGAAGAGGAGAGTGTTAGTAGGTAAGTACTGTCACTTTATTTGCATTCCCGGTCTAGTATGTGGTGTAATTGATATAGAAATAATTTATAAGCTGTTACACTTTTGCATGCCTGTACGTGTGCAATGACTGGTTGCCAAGTACCGGTCATTTGCATTCAAAGATGAAACGTGTGGTTGTTGTTTGGTGCTGTTGTTATTAAACATACATGTATCTGTCATCCAATTAATATGACTATATGAACAGCATTGTCACAGCAGATTGTAAGGTAGTGCTTATCCGTTAGCAATAAATGACATCACGAACAACAAATGAAACAAACAAACATGAAATGTTGCGAGTCAGTGTGATTATCACATCAAAGCTCTCACAACGTTTAATATGGATATTTAACTTATCGAGAAACTTGGACCAGTTGTTTTCATACTATCGTAGAGAGTTGTGACAACAGAGAAGAGTTGTGACAACCGATTTTGTTTTTGTTCCTCTCCCGACTGTGCAGTGCTGTATATAGTCAATTTGAAGACGTAAATTGTGTATAATATAATATTGCATGCACTAAATTGTAGTCAATATTTTAATTCTTGATTTACATATCAGACATATGTAGACATGTCTACATAACTAGTGTCTACAGAATATATTTAAATTCTGAATTTTATTCATATATTCAACCATGTTTTTTTACATATTTGTTCAGAATGTCTGAATTACATGATTCCTGGGGAGATACATCAGAAGCGGATGATACCTTCAGTGTACCCAGAAAACAGCAGGTATGTGTTCGGCAGTAATGTACATACTTTAATTTAAACATCAGGCAAGAGTGAAGCCATCGCTTGGTTCTTAAAATTGGTGTCACGAACCTTTGAAATGTTATTTGATGACATAAGCATTTTACTAGGACTCTAAAATTTCAGCATGTTCGAATGTGGAGTTCACAGTTGCCGAGAGAAAAAAGTTCTCTTGGTAAAACACAATCCAACAATCTCATAGAATTCTGAATGGTAAATAAATAAAAAGAAGAGATTTTTTAAATTGACAGTTTGAGGGCGCTATAACATCATAAGGACATTATGTTTTTTCTTTTCCTGTCATTATAATTCCTCTACTAGTAACTTGTTTCATTAGAAGTCAATGTAAGCCCAAAGTCTCAGCAATATGTTTTA